AAAAATGTGCTCCTCTTCAACCCAATAAGGAAAAAAACTCAATGTTCCGAAGTCATCCGGGCCACTCGAAGCCCCGCCCTGCTCGTAGAAGAAGATGTGTGAGTCCTTGTTTTTACGGGCTGTTGGCTGCGGAGGGTTTAGGGCTTAGGGTTTGGGGTTCAGAGTTCAGGGGCTTAGGGGCTTAGGGTTCGGTCGTGGGCCTCCAGGCTTGCGAAGGTGTGTATAAGGGCTTCTGAAGGCCTACATAGGCCCACAGAGGCTTTCAAGGGAGGCTAGCAGGTCGTCGTGCGCAAGCCCCTCACAGCTGAACCTCGGTGGGGTTTGGGTTGGGAGGTTTGGGGGGGGGGGGTTTGGGCTTCGGGGTTTTGGTTTAGAGCTTGGACCTGGGGCTGTTTGGTTTCGTCAACCCTGGACCCGCGGACCCTGAACCTAAAACCCTAAACCCCTAAACCCTAAGCCTAAAAACTAAGCCCCCAACACCCCCAACACCCTGCGCAGTCCTTGCCACACAGAACCTCCTCCCCACGGCCAGAGCAGTGGGTGCCGACCTGTTGCTGGGAAAAAAAGCTTGAGCCCTAGAACACCCCGAATATAGTAACATAATGATATACTAGTGTTTTAATGTACAGATAGAGGACTAATAACATACGAATACATGTACACATATATGTATATATATATATATATATAACGTCTTAAGAATATAGTAAGGAAATCGCAAATTTTTATGACTCCTCGCCTACGCTCGTTTAGGTTTATGGTTCGAGTACTAGATTACTACTCCCGAGGATCAAAGGACTTCATAAGTAGTCGTTAGGTGGGATTGTTCCGCAGGATAGCCGCGATTAGGGTCCCCTTTAAGGTGTTCAAAGCTCTTCCTACATCATCCCGCGATCCTCCAAGTAGAGTCCTTTGAGGTCTCTTTAGGGTTTTGAGGGTTGAGGGTATAGGGTTTAGGGCGGAGACTCGGGTTCAGAGGTACCAGGGGAGAATACGAGGGTACTCGGTTCCCACACCCTAAACCCCAAATCTTAAAACGCCTTAAAGGATTCTTCCCAAACCCTAGATACCCTAAACCCTGAAACGCTTTATAAAGGTTTCTTCAGGGGGATCTTAGGGTATCTCCCTATTAAAGAAGGGGCAATCCGAGGGGCTGCCAGGAGGTTTCCCTGCGTCCCGGAGGTCACGAAGAGGCCTGCTTCCTTACCTGGTAGTAGTCAGGATAGTCGTCGTAGTAAGTTTAAGAATAGCAAGTAACAACAGTATGATAGTCAGACTAGTCATAACAGTACTGATAGTCATACAAGGCAATAGCAGTAGCAGTAGCCGTTCTAGTACTAGCAGTAACGAAAACAAAAAATCGTAATCATCGCAATCGGCAAGAATAAACAAAATGTACTAGTGGGAATAACGGTAATAAGGAATAATGGTGGGCCCCAAGGCCGCAAGCCGTAAAGCCACTCAAGTCCTCTCAAGCCTGATATAGCGGCTAAAGCCTAAGGGTTTAGGGTTTAGGTTTCGGGTCCTATACCCGCAAAACCTGAACCCTGAACCCGAGACCCTCCCAACTCAACCACCACACACTCAAGATTCCGCTAGCTCAGTCTGAGCCAAAGCCTAAACCCTAAAGCCTTAGCAACAAAAACTAAAACCTGAGTCAGAAGAGCGTTTGAAGAGCTCAGTCTGAGCCAAAGCCTAAACCCTAAAACCCTAAAACCCCTAAAACCCCTAAAACCCTAAACCCTGAGTCAGAAGAACGTTTGACATGTTGAGCGTCGCTCAAGCGACGAGCCCTGAACGGGATGTATGTCTTCTAGGGCTCAAGCCAATACTTTGAAGAACCCCTTGCAGGAGCGAGGAAGGAGAGCAAGCAGGAGTTTAGGGTTGCCCCCTAAACCCTGCAACCCCAACCCCTCAACCCCAAACCCAGAAACCCTGAGCCCAACTTTGACAAAAAAAAATCACACCAAGGCGGCCCTGATGCCCAGGAGCTCAGCCACCCGTCTCTCGAGCAGCTGCACTGTGGGGTCGTCACCAAACACGTCATCGCCAACCTGCTGGTGCCCCTACAGATATGCGACCAACCCACAGAGTGGCAGTGGGTCAAGCCCCCATGCTGGGGAGCCACCCACCCGCCCTAACCAGCAACCCTAAACCCTAAACCCTAAACCCTAAACCCTAAACCCTAAACCCTAAACCCTAAACCCTAAACCCTAAACCCTAAACCCTAAACCCTAAACCCTAAACCCTATAAACCCTAAACCCTATAAACCCTGTAAACCCGAAGCCCTGAGCCCTATAAGCCCTAAACCCTGAACCTGAGGTGGGTCGTTTTCTCTCAAGGCCGTGCTTCGGATTCCAATGACCATGACAGCTCCCTAAAGGCCCTAAACCCCCAGACCCAAAACCCAAAACCCCTCATTCCCTAAACCCCTGAAACCCAAAAGCCCTAAACCCCGAAAGCCCTAAGCCCCAAACCCTAAACACAAAAGCCACAAAGTCCCAATCCCCTTTTTAGGATTGAGCCTTGGGGAGTTCAGGAGCCCCCAAAACGTTGCCTCTGCATTTGCCATCGCCTCACGCATGCCCGGCGTCGGCTGGGTCACCGTGTCCTTGGTTGCGCGACCCAGGGGCTTTGTAGGGTTTAAGGCTTAGGGCTTAGGGTTAGAGGATTTGTGGGTTTGAACATTCCCAATTCCTTCTAAGCCGCAAACACGAAACACTAAACCCCAAGCCCTGACCAGTAAACCTTTGAGGATTTTTGGGGCTTTCATATGTTGGGTTTAGGGTGCTACTGTATGGTGGCAGCACTTCAGGCTTTCTAGGGCTTGGGAGAAATTGGGTTCGCGGCTTTGGGATTCTCAGAGCCTCAACCCTAAATTCCCGAAACCCCAAGCCCGAAGCCTAAACCCCAAACCCAAAACCACCCTAAACCCTAAACCCTAAACCCCAAACCCCAAACCCCAAACCCTAAACCCTAAACCCTAAACCCTAAACCCTAAACCCTAAACCCTAAACCCTAAACCATGAGGTCAGGGCAGTTCAGGGCTCCAGGTTGGCAGGCTCTGGGAAACTTTGGCTACTCTGGGCCTAGGGAGGTCAGCCCATCGCCATGAAAGCTTCTGGAGCCTCATTGGCCCGAAAGCAGATTTTAGGGTTTAGGGTTTAGGGTTTAGGGTTTAGGGTTTAGGGTTTAGGGTTTAGGGTTTAGGGTTTAGGGTGGAGGTGAAGCAGATTCTTGGGTTTAGTGTTTAGAGCGTGTAGAGTTCAGGGTGTCCAGACGCCGTGGGGGTAAGGGAGGCGGTGTAAGGGCCTACATTACCCAACTAAGCCTTAATGAACCGGAACAAGGGCGAGTCGCCACTTTCCCGCAATCTGACGCTGAGGTACAGGTTTCATGGATTGGTTGCCCTAAACCCCAACCCCACCCGCCCTCCTCAAACTCAGATCTCCTCTAAACCCTCCTGAGCCCTGAAAACCTAAACCCTAAGTCCTGACCCATAAACCCCAAACCCTAACCTAAACCCAAAACCCCTAAACCCTCCTCCAAAACCTGTTGACGTCGGGACTCCGATCTCATGTCGACAATCCTCTGGCCATTGCTGGTGGCATTGGCCACGCCGTTGGAGTACCCAGCGACCATGGCCAAACCCTAGAACGTAACCACTCAAGAAAACCGAAAACCCCAAACCCTCAAGCCTAAACCCTAAGGGGCCCGCGTTTTGAGACGGGCTTCGACTCGGACTTGGGGTGCGCAGGCTTTGCAAAAAGAGCATGTGTCTCAGTTGCAGCTGGCCTTAGAGCTTTTGCAAGGGTTTGTAGGGCTTTTCGGCCGGTTTTTAGGGTTTGGGGCTTAGGGTTTAGGGTTTTGGACTAGGTGGTGTTGCTTGAGATTCACATTTCAAACCTCTCATCTTCGAGGGTGTAGCCTTCAGATGCCTGTTATGAACGTGCAGCAGAGAAAGCCAGCAGCTTGAAAGAAGATGCATTTTTAACATCCTAAGCAATGAAGCCAATTCTGATATAAAAGTCTTCAAGATGTGGTTCAGGGTTTCGGTAGTTTGGTCCTGCAGTGCCGAGTGTGGGCTGAGGGCTTAGGGCGTACATTCAGGGTTTAGGGTTCAGAGGCTTTCGGGCGTACGGTGTTCCTGGCAAGAATTCGACACCCCGAAGCCCTAAACACAAAACCTTGAAGCCCCCTTGGCCTCACTATGAGCGAAACACCGAATACAATAGCATTAGGATATAACTAAGTGCTTCCGATCACTCCTTTCCTTGTCCAGAAGCCCCAGGTAATCTTTATTTTGGGCCTTTGAAGTATTCAACTTATACAGTCTACAGGTTCATACAGGTTCATAAAAGCCCCATTATTCTTCATTCTTCGAAGGGGCCTGTACTCCATGTTAACCTCTATCTTCTTACCATAAGGCAAAAAACCCTAATACCATTCAAGCCTGAAGCCCGCGAGCTTCATCTAAAACCCCACCTAACACACACCCCCCACACACACACACAAAAACACACACACACACACAAAAACACACACACACACACACACACACACACACACACAAAAACACACACACACACACACACACAAAAACACACACACACACA